GCTGATCCAACTGCCCTGCTGACCCACTGGGCAGCCACTGCTGTGACTCTGCCAGCCAGCCTAAAGCTAGGGCTCTGGGCAGCCCCACACACCAGGGCTCCCTGGGCAGCATTGGGTTTTGGGGCTTCCTGAACAGCCTTGTGTGTTGTGCTGGGGCTCCATGAGCAGCCCTGCACATTGTGCACCAGGGCTCCCAACCCTGCTGCTACACACTGGACAGCTCCGCTGTCAGCTCCATGCAGATATCCCTGTGGGGCTGGCAGGGCAGTGGACTCCTTGCTGCTGGCCCTCCAGCGGGACTTACTGGTCCTGCAACATTCATGCTGGACTAGAGAATCCTGTTTAAAGGAGTTTCAGCCTGTACTAATCTTGGCTGAAAAGGTTCCGTTTTCCAGTGTAGACGTCTAGTGCTGGAAGAAGCTCTGCGCTCTCTTTTCCTACCCCCTTTCTCCTATTATTTTGGGCTATACCTGCATTATGAGGTAGGGCGTGATTCCCAGTGCACATAGACATACTCATGCTAGTTCTCATCCGTGCTAATGTGCTAAAAATAGTCTTCAGGAGCAGCAGCGGCATGGGACTAGTACTGCTGAATAGAAGCCAATCTGAATCCCGTAAGGCACATGTTTGGCACAGTTGGCTCATTCTGCTGCTGCCTGTGCCAGCCCAACTGTGTCACTGGCTTTAGCAAGCTAGCTCAGATGGGAGGACAAATCTCACCCTCACTTCTAGTGCAGAGGTTGCCTTGCTAAATGGAAAGTTCCGATCATTCATTACCTCCTCCTTGTGTACTTCATTGAATTACTGGAGCTTGTGCAGTGCTCGCTCAGTGTGTTCTGTGACTTGTTTTTCTGCCTGTGTATTTCAGGCAGAGCTCCATGAGGACTGGATATCACATGCCCTCTTGCCAGTTTGGGTGGTTGTGGAAGAGGGCACTTTTTCCAAGCCCTGCTCTTTTCCTCAATGTTTTGACTGAGCATTAAACTGAGGAAGGGCCCTGGATACCTTGGTGAGAGCTCCATGGTGCTTGGAAAATTGAAAAAAGGGTACAAAGAGACTAGCATGTTGAATGCCTGTGCAGCCACTCAGTTTCCTGGTAGCGTCCATGCAGCCTTCTTTTGAGACCAGCTTTATCCTGAGCATAACTCACTACTTCCTGTTTAGAATGGAGCATAAAATGGTTAGCTTCCAGGGATGTTAGCATGTAGTTGTTTACATGATAAAACCTGGGCTCAACAGTTAATCCTAATGAATACATGCACACACACCCTACCCCCTTGCTGCATCTGTAGGTCTTTTAACATGTAGCAGAGTTGCAAAAGAGGATGAGAGAGAATGGCTTCATTTTTCCTTAGTGAAAGTTCAGCTTTCACAAGTTTAGGAAATTTTAAAACCATGACCTTTCTGGGGTGTTTTATTGCAGGTACACACACACAGATGGTTAGAAACACACATAGGTCTACCCTGGATGTGGTGGGGAAAGGCTGCTTGAAGTAGTAAGGGATCAGTTCTCAAATGCAGCAGGTTAGAGATACTGAGGAATATGATCGGAGGAAATTAGATGAATCAGTTGTTGTATAAAGACAAATATTTCACTCAGCTGTTAACTTCAACCCAGCTTTAGATTGTCCATGTTCACAATAATGAGACCAGTAAAACCTCATCCAGTAGCTATAAATGCAGCCCATAAAGACTCTACTTGACTGAGAAAAGTCATCTAATTGGAAAGTAGCTTTGCTGTAGTCACCTTTACTAGCTATCAACTTCCAAATGGCTTGTAGACCAGGTAGCTCAAGCAGGCTTTTCCCTGTGATCCAGTTAGGGTTGTTGGAAAGTCTGATCAAAAGGGGACCTATACTGTGTCCGGTCAGATGTATGTCAGGGGCTGCAGCTCCTGACCCAGGCCCAGAACAAAGAATGCCCAATTGTGGGGGAGGAGAGGATTTGAGCTATGGAGGAGGAGAAAGAGGAGTAAGTGGAATTGGGCCCTCAAGAGAAGAGGCCTAGAAGGAGTAGAGCTTTGGGGGAAAGAGATGGAGCAAGGTCCCAGCGCTTCTGCTGTAGTGTCTGGTTTTCAGAGATTAGAAAGTTGGAATCTAAGCACACCTCTTTGTTCAAGTGGAATACGTCTGTCATCTCTTCCAATGACCTCCAAGGAAGCAGGGGGACAGTATGAGTAGCATGGGATTTTTTGCTTTATTTTTTGTTGTTTCCTTGTTCTTGGGGAAATGTTGTTTGTAATCTAAGTGTGCCCAGCTACTGCAGTGCTGTTTGCCTCCCAAGTTTTGGAAATGGTGCTGATGAATGACCCCTTCCCTAAATAGTTGTGTGAGGGCCCAAGATGGTGCAGTGTACAGGAAAAAAACACCTGTTAGTTGGTCAGATACTAGATTATACGGGTAGCTCGCAGATCCAACTTCAAAAGCAGCACTTCCTGGTCCCAGCAATCTTGAAGGAGCTCTGCTGTAGGTCTTTAGTGTCTGCTTCCGCTTAAGATCTTATTTAACACTTGTTAGCTCTTATTTAATACTTCCCTGGTTTTGGTATGAGATGCATGCATCTCTGGTGTGCTAGATAATAAACCTATAAGATAAAAATATAACGAGAAAAAAAGCTGTCACCGCCTCCTTTGGTGTCCATGTCATTAACGCAAAGGTGTTTATTCATGAGTCTATTACCGGGATGGAATAAACTGTATTTAACCTTCCTTTTGAATTAACATTCTTGATGTTTCCTGGTATATAAAATATATTAACCAATAGAAAAGCAGGACTTTAAGACTCAGTATTCCATTGCATGAAATAACCATTGGCTTTCTAGGAGTAAGAACAAATTAACATGCTGTTTCCTGGAAGAACTACCAAGAAATAGCACTGCGTTCTGTTACTTAGAGGAACTTTAATAAATAAATCTAGACCTAAAGGACTATCTATTACAATAATCCTTACAGTGAGCATTTTTTTTTAAATTTCTGATGTTTTAGACTAGAATGCTTGATTTAGCCTTGACTGCCACCTTGTGGTCTCTGATAATAAAGAGCGTAAGTGTTCAGCAAATATCTGATGCTATACAAAAGATTCTACAAATATTTTAATACTTAATTTCCATATGTTACTAATAGCACCTATTAAAACTCCTGTTTACTTGTCACAATTTTATTCTGTTTGCTTCTTACATTTCTGTTTGGTTGTATGTCAGTAAAGTTGATTCCATCTGTTTGATCAGATTCTCAGTGTTGGAATTGCAAACAATGCAAGAGAATATTTAATTATGTTCATTGACAGTTTAAAAGATGGAAACATTTTTATTGATTTTTGGTCTTTGAGATAGTTTCTGTGAAAATCTAGTCAGGAGCCAAATCACAGTTTTCTTGTAAAGCAGTAACTGCTAGGCACGCTATAAAGATGTAATGTCAATTTAAAATATATAGTTCTGATTAGAAATAGTCTTAGTTTAAAGAATAATTTCAGCTATGAGAATTAAAGTAATATTAAAAATTAATTCATTTTCATAATTTATACTAGTTTATTTTTGTGCTTCATCTTTCACAGTGAAAATAGTAATTTCACATCCAGGTTGTCACATACTATTTCATGCCTTTTGAGATGGTATGAGACAAGGGTGGTGTGTATTGGAAGTGTGTGCTGCCACAGTTTCAGCTATCCTGAGGCTACATAATCCCAAAAACTGTCAGCCCAGAATAGGATGACCAGATGGCAAGTGTGAAAATTGGAACACTCTTTTCTTTTTTTAGGGGTGTGCAGGGTGCCGTTACCTATATAACACAAAGCCCCGAATATTGGAACATCTGGTCATCCTACTCCAGAAACTTTCACTCATATTAGTTAATTGAAATTACATCATAAATGTCTTTTGTCTTTTTTAATGAGAGAGAGGTGCTGTAGATAAAATGAGATTGTTCCATTCTATGTGAAGTTCTTGAGCATTGCTAGATCATGTTGCGTTTTGGTCTGTCTTGTCTGTGGATTGAAAGGTTAAGATTTTTTTTCCTCTTTTTTTTTTTCTTCTTCCTTTTTCATTTACCTTCTATGGGGGGTGAAGTCTGTCCACTCCAGTCCTTCCAACTCCAGTTCCAGCTCAGATTCCAGTTCTGACTCGGATTTTGAACCATCTCAGAATCACAGTCAAGGTGTGTTGCAAGAAGTGATATTCTTCAAAAATCTTCTCACTTGGTTTATGTAAAGTGTGTGTTTGGATTTTTTTTTTTTTTACCAAATGTTACAGTCCAGGAATTCCCCAGAGGGGTATGATAAAGGCTAGTACGGGGGGGGGGATATGATAGAAATCTATAAAATAATGAATGATGTGGAGAAAGTGAATAAGGAAGTGGTGTTTACCTCTTTACATAATGCATGAACTAGGGTCACCCAATGAAATTAATAAGCAGCAGGTTTAAAACATAACAAAATACTTCTTCACACAGTGCACAGGCAGCCTATGGAACTTGTTGCTAGGGGATGTTGTGAAGGCCAAAAGTATAACTAGAGTAAAAAATTTTTTGATTGATTGATTAAGATATGTTCATGGAGGATAAATCCATCAATGGCTATTAGGATGGGTATCCCTAGACCTTTGATTGTGAGATACTGGGACTGGATGATGGGATGAATCACTTGATGGGATGATGGGATGAATCACTTGCCCTCGTTTTGTCATTCCCTTTGAAACATCTGGCTTTGGTCACTGTTGAAAGACAGGAGACGAGGTTAGATGGGCCATTGGTCTGACCCACCATGGACATTCGTATCTTCTCCTTTTCACACCACCATATAACTGACAGTCATTGTACTGGATTCCTTGAGCCTATCTAAGGCCATCGACCTAACTTGGCTTTGCTGAATGGAATTGATGCATGTTGAATTTACTGTGTGATTCTCTGCAAGAGAAAAAGTAGTAACTGATGTGTTTGCCATAAACAAATGTGTTGCTCTGGTATTTAATCTGTGGGCATTGAATATATCTGGAATTGCCTTTTTCCTTCACCGTTTGTTGGCTTCTCTTTTATTTAATCTTTAAGAACTTTGTGATTTATTCAGCTTACGAGGTTTTATTTTGTAATTTTGTTCAGTGCTGACTAAAATCTCGTGGCATCGCTAGGCATATGACTTGACTCCCACAAACTCAATTTGTCCCTGTAAATAAAAATTAGACATGGAAAAGACTATTTATATTGAGTTCATCCCCTTGCCAACGCAGATTTGTTCCCTTTATTATACTTCCAGTGCTTTGTTTTGTCCAGCTTTAATTACCCAAAAAGATGAAGTGTCCATCACTACTTTCAGCAGTCATGATTAACTCTGTGGTGATGCAAATGCTTAAAACTAAGGCCTGGCTCACACAATGTAAAAAGTGTCTGATTTTGCTTTGACCAAGTAGGAAGAGTAAAAAAAACATTTAAAATAAAAAAAAAGGTTTTTAATAGTAAATTAGCATACTTTTTCCAGTGAACTGATGTTAGAAACCTGAATTTCCAACACCTCACCAGTCTTGAGATACACTGAATGACATATCGATGGCTAGAACTTAAAACTTCTGTGACACCCGTCTGAAGAAATCATGACTCCTCTGGAGATAACTTATGGATAAACTAAGCCAAGTTTGGTTCATGGCAGTTAAATAGGACTCTGTAGCAATCTGCTTTAATCTGCTTTTCTCCCTTTTCCTCCCTGACCTCTAATCTCAGGCCCATTGCGCTCCATGGTAGAGGATCTACAGTCAGAGGAATCGGACGATGATGACTCCTCTTCTGAGGAAGAGGCGGCAGTCAAAGCCAACCCAGTCAGTCGGGATTCCAGGTGATAAGAGGCTGAAAGATGCCTAGCCATCTCTTCATTTTGCCTATGTTTATATCTCTGTATAACTTCTATGTCTATAACTTTGTAAGAGAAAGGAAATGAGGTCATGGTTTTGAGTGCTGGAGGGTTGGTTTTTGAAAGTAACAAATTCATGGAATTTTGAAGAAGAGGGCCTTTTGAGGAGTGTTATGTGGCTGCTAAACTCAAGGTCAACAAAGTGCCAAAGGCGAATTGATATGGTAGAAAGTCCCTTAGACTTGAAAGGGAATAAGTCATTAGAATCTTGAGAGCAGTTTCACTGGAGTATGGAGGACAGAACTTGGGCTGGAAGAATTAGAGGAGAGAAATGAAAGGGAGAAGGCCAAGGAGCTTGGAAATAAAGTTGTGGCTAATAAGTACGGGCCTATCAAATTCATGGTTTTAGGATTTTAAAAATCATAAATTTCATTATTGCAGCCACTGGCGGCCTGTCCATAGAGGTGAACTAGGTGGTTGCCTAGGGCGCCAAAGTTAAACTGTGTTGAGGGGTTTGAAGGCGGGGACGCCGATCGCGCGTTTCGCCTAGGGTGCCAGTTGCTGGCAGCTCGTCTAGGGCCGCTCCTGATTGCAGCTATTTAAACCTGAAATTTCACGGTGTTGTAATTGTGTGGATCTTGACCCGAAAGGAGTTTGAGGGAGAGTCACAAGGTTATTGTAGGGGGGGTTACATTGCTGCTACCCTTATTTATGCAATGCTGCTAGTGGTGGTGTTGCCTTTAAAGGTGGGCAGCTGGAGAGTGGGGGCTGCTGAGTGGGAGACCAGCTTTAATGGCAGAGTTGCTGGAGGATCCCTTCCTTAAGAGCTGGGCACGTGGCCAACAGCCACTGCTCTCTGGTTGGCCCAGTTCTGAAGACGCAAGGGTTGCAGTATAGAATCATAAAATACTAGGACTGGAAGGGACCTAGAGAGGTCATCGAGTCCAGTCCCCTGCCCTCATGGCAGGACCAAGTACTGACTAGACCATCCCTGATAGACATTTCTCTAACCTACTCTTCAATATCTCCACAGATGAAGATTCCACAACCTCCCTGGGCAATTTATTCCAGTGTTTAACCACCCTGACAGTTAGGAACTTTTTCCTAATGTCCAACCTAAACCTCCCTTGCTGCAGTTTAAGCCCATTGCTTCTTGTCCTATCCTCAGAGGCCAAGATGAACAAGTTTTCTGCCTCCTCCTCATGACACCCTTTTAGATATCTGAAAACTGCTATCATGTCCCCTCTGTCTTCTCTTTTCTAAACTCAGCAAGCCCAATTCTTTCAGCCTTCCCTCATAGGTCATGTTTTGTAGACCTTTAATCATTTTTGTTTCCCTTCTCTGGACCCTCTCCAATTTCTCCACATCTTTCTTGAAATGCAGTGCCCAGAACTGGACACAAGACTCCAACTGAGGCCTAACCAGCGCAGAGTAGAGTGGAAGAATGACTTCTCGTGTCTTGCTCTCAACACACCTGTTAACGCATCCCAGAATCATGTTTGCTTTTTTTGCAACAGCATCACACTGTTGACTCGTATTCAGCTTGTGATCCACTATGACTCCTAGATCCCTTTCTGCCGTACTCCTTCCTAGACAGTTGCTTCCCATTCTGTATGTGTGAAACTGATTGTTCCTTCCTAAATGGAGAACTTTGCATTTGTCTTTATTAAACTTCATCCTGTTTACCTCAGACCATTTCTCCAATTTGTCCAAATCATTTTGAATTATGCCCCTATCCTCCAAAGCAGTCGCAGTCCCTCCCAGCTTGGTATCATCTGCACACTTAATGGACCCCCCCCCCTCCCCCCCAAAAAAAAAAACCAAAAAACTTGTCTCACACTCACGTTGCAGCTCCCTTTTGGGTCAGCCCTCCTGTATAAGAAATGTTGGTTTCCCCCATGAAAACACACACAAGACCAGATTTCATAGTCTGAGACACATTTTTCATGGCTGTGAATTTGGTAGGGCCCCCGGGATAAGACAATAAGGAATAGAGGTTGACAGAAGACACTACAGAATGTAGGCTTTTTTAATTAAAGCCACTAGCCCTCAGAGTTGGGAAACCTTTCAACTTTCCACCAATGCCATTTGTCCTACTGAGGCTCCAGACAGCGTGTGACGTTATTCTTTGCATTGGAGGAACACGTGGCTCCAGTCATGGGCCACGGCCTTGCATTGCTAGGCACTCTACAGACACAGCCAAATAAACTCCCCTTTTACTCTCACTAGAGTGTTGACACTTAAGCTGTGCGCTGGTGGGATAGCTGTGTTGGTCCCAGCATATTAGATAGACAAAGTCATGAGGTTGTATCTTTTATTGGCCCGACTTCCGTTCGTGAAAGAGACACGCTTCCAAGCTACACAGAGCTCTTCCAGGTGAACAGGTTCCAGTGCCTAATGATATTTATGTCAGCACTATTTCATTGCTGATCGTTGTAGTGGATGGGATATTAAAGGTAGAGTGAAGCCTGTGGACACTGAAGGTGGCATTGGGATGTTGAAGATACCTCAGAGAGGAAAGCGGGGGAGGGTACAGAGAAAAGCAATGAAGGGTAGAAATGGTAGGGACCCCAAAGGGAAGCATGGTTTTCCATGGAGTGATGCTGGGTATGGCTAAGGTAACAGTCACATTACCAGTAGTAAATATTGATTATATGGTAACACAGGGTCCCATTGTCCTGGATGGTGTAGAAAAACAGAAAAGAGACAGTCTGTGACCCATGCAGAGCTTGCACCCTAAGTATACCAGCTGATAAAATGATCGTTAAGGGGCGCATAAAGGCTTTTGAATTCCATTGAATTCCAATGGGATTCGTGCCAACTTCCTTAGCTGTTTTTTAAGTTTTTCTTCTAAGTGTTTTTTTAACCCCATACTTGCCTGTGACCATGGTGTGGTCTGGAAGCAGTAGTTCACTCAAGCTCTGACTCGGGAGCTGTAATTGACTGTGCAATTCACCTCATTCCACCAAATGAGTTTGATCTGGAGAGAATAGGGAAATGTTGAGGCTGGCTGGCCATATTATCTTCTCCTTACCTCAGGTTAGCAGTACACAGCACAGAAGTACCGTAAATTAGCATATATAAACTGCAGGTTATACATGTTTTTACAAACCCCCCTCTCCCCTGCAGGGTATACATGTCCACGGGGTATACAAGTTTATTTTTACTCATAAGCAGCTCTGCCCCATTAGAATTGGTTCAGCTCTGCTCCGCTGCAGGGAAGGCCTGACGAGCTTCCAGCATGCCTGCGCTGTGCTCTCCGTCCGTCCCCCTGGAGGAGGGTGGGTTGCGCCTGGCTGTGGCTGCGCAGAGCCAGGACGCAAGTGCAGCTCCCCTCCCACAGGACGGCCAGCTTGCCTGCGCTGTGCTCTCCATTCCCCCCGCTGGCAGCAGGATGGCTACCTAACAAAAGATGGGTGGAATGCAGGACATTGGCAGTTTATCTTGGTATGTGCAATTACCGTGAATTAGCCTATAGAACCTGCGGGTTATACACGTCCGTGGGTAATCTACGTTTTTTTACACAGCAAAGAAAAACCACAGGTTATACACGAGAGCGGGTTATATACGCTAAAACACGGTAATTCTAAATCCTGTTGCAGACTCTCACTGATTAGACTGAGTTTCTGCAGGACTTGGCCCAAAGCAGTTACCTGCTTTAGTAGAAATGGTTGGATTTTTGTGTCTCTTCCGTCAAGGTATGTTACTCTAGGCAAGATTTGAAATCTCATGTTGGACACTTGAAATCAAACGCTTAGCCCAAGCAGCAGCTATAGGTTTTGAATGGGATCCTCTATCCACCACAAAATATACTACTTGGATTAACTTCTGTCTATATCACAGTGACAAAAAAGGACTCTGGAGCTTTTTACGGGTCTGTGCAATTTCTGGTCAATCGAGTTGAGGTTGTTTTGGTTTTGCATGTTTATGCACTGAGGATAAGCCTTCAGTGGGAATGTCTTGGTTTCCCTCCTTATTCATTGTAAATGTTTAATGCTACTTGAATACAGTGCTGACAGCATTCTGGAATGCTGAGTCTCTGTGCAGGAGCAATAGCACATCATCATTTCGAGTCTTATTTAGTTTGAATTACATTGAAGTGTGCTCTGTTGGGTAGTGATGTAAGATGTAAGAGACTAGTCGACTATCCAATAAGCAGAAGCTTATTGAATAGTCAACTAGTGATGTGACTAGTCACCCCCCTCCCCCCTTGCTGGGGGGGAGCAGAGGCACAGCGCAAACGGTGCTAGCAGGGACTGAAGCAGCCTCTGCTTGCGCCGCTTCTGCTGCGATTCTGCTTTTGAAATGTACAAGCGTCCCAGCAGAGGTCTTATACATTTTAAAGGCTGAGACGCCAGGGAGCGCAGAGCCAGCAGGAGTCCCCTGATGGTCCCATACTCCCTGTGGGGCTTCAGCTTTTGAACTGTAGCAAAGGTCCAGAAGGGCTCTTGCTACAGTTCAAAGGTGGAGGTGCCCTTATAGGCTAATCGAATAGTCGATGGAAAGCCCATCAACTATTTGATTAGTTAATCTAAATTTAACATCCCTAGAATTGGAACCACACGTTGACCAAAACACAACTGCAACCTAAACTATGAAAATAAGATTTTTGATCCATGTATTTCTCATATAGCTAAATATCAGCTTCCTAATAACAGGTGATGTTAACTCTGTGCTCCTTGCTTCTCAGATTGAGTCTTAGCGACAGTGACAGTGACAACAGTGCGGACTCCTGCCTGCCCAGTCGAGAACCTCCTCCCAGTCAGAAACTGCCCCCAGCTAATAATAAGGTATTTGCAACATGTATATCTCCATGCTCCTTTATTGACTTTGTCTTGGATCTGCATCTCCTAAATAGGCAAGAATGAACACCCTGGAAGCTTTGCCTGTGGAAGGAACTGTGGGACTGGTCCCTTCAAGGGCTCATTTTAATTGGCAGGAGTGGGGGGAGGAGCACTATCAACTTAACATCAAGTCAGTTTCAGTGTTCCAAGTTCCAGGTGCTTTACCTACTTGTGAGGCTCCATACAAATTCAACCAGCACGTTTTCTGACTCACTAATACTGTGATCTCCCCAAGGCTAACTTACTATGCAGTAAGCCAACTAGAAAATAGGATCAGAGAGGTAGTAGCCATGTTAGTCTGAATCTGCAAAAGCGATGAGGAGTCCCGTGGCACCTTATAGAATAACACAGTGGTCCCCGACCTTTATGGGCTCCCGGGCGCGTGGGGGCGGGGCCACTCGCGCCGGGCGCCTGGGGGCGGGGCCGTGCATCCTGGGGCTCGCCAGGG